AAGTGAAGTGGGTTTATTTTTAATTGAGTTTGAACCCAACACAGTATGTTCGTTTAACCAGGAAGATGTACATTAAACATTGAAAGTAATAGTCCTCAATGCAGAAACATCCCAATATCTGAAAAGCTGGAAACAATAACCTCCAAAAACCACTCCAAAATGTTTCACACCAGCCAAGCCATAAAACAACAGGACTCTATGTATTTCAAATATACTACAATGTGACTGATCCCCCCCCCCCCCTTTGCTCTCTCTCTAAACCCCCGTCTCCCCTCAGCTCTGGCCTCCAGTCAGATCCCCATCACGTCTCTGGACGGCAGCAACCTTCTGTTCGCCAACACGTCTGGCGGCACACCGATCTTCCTGAACCCCCAGAACCTGTCGCTGCTCACCAGTAACCCCGTCAGCCTGATGCCGGGGGTGGGGGGGCTGCAGCTGACCTCCGACCCCCACCTTCAAGCCTCCGCGGCTGCTGTGCCTGTGCAAAACTCCACCATCACCGCTGCCTCCAAGGCTCAGTGAAGCCCGGCTGCATACCGTCTGTTTCTCTCGTCACCATGCAGGGAGCAGGGCGTCTGAGATCAGCGCTCCACTAACCAACCCCACATTCTTTCCATTGTATCTATCATTATTTAATCCTTTTGCTGCCACCAAAAAGAAAACAACCCCAAGTGAGGTTGAGGTTGACTTTTTACATTTTTGTTTCTTTTTTGATTCTTGGATGTTTTTTTTCCAACAAACATTCGCTGTTGTTGGCCTGCCGCTCATCATGAACCTTGACAAAGTGACCGGGAGGATGAAATATCCCCGGCACGATCAAGCTGTTCACATTGTGTGTGTGTGTGTATATATATAAATATATATCCTCCTATTTCCAGGTCAGAATTTCTCTGAAACACTTCTAACCAAAAACGTTTTAGATTTTTCTCTTTTAACATTCAAACTGATTTACTACTAATATTCATCATCACTAACGGGGATTTGTGTGTCACCCCACCTTTTAATTATCTCTTTTGAGTTTTTTTGGACAGGCCTTGACGCAAATCATATCAAAGTTATATTGTAGAGATTTTCTTTTCCCTTTCTTTTCTGTATTTTTTAACATTTTCAGAACTTTGTAAGTCTAATATTAAGTTAACTATCAATTTGTAATCGTGGTTATAAGGCTTTAAAAACAAGTAATAAGTGGCCGATATAAAGGTTATCATTGCTTTAAGGATCAGAGGGACAAGACGTGTCTCTCTGAGTCTCTCTTTCTGGAAACACTGAGTTTTACATTTTGCTGCGGAGCGAAGTAGCCCCAAAGCTTTTTGTAAAATCACCGTCTCGGTGCGGATTACAGACACTGATAGAAAATGACTGAAAACATTGCGTTGAGAGCTTTATAAAGAGCTGCGGACATGCAGTCCCGTGTCTGATTTAAGGGTGATTTGTTTTGGATGGTGGTCTATTGGAAAACTGTACATTACGTTTGGATTCAGAGGTAGAAAATAGACGTCTGCATGTGTTGTCTACAGAGAGTTCAGTTCCTGCATGATCCACGCGGCTCTGCGGCTGACTGCTCTGTCGTTGGGAGGATTAGTCAGGGCATGGGCATCATACCAAATGTATGCTGGCATTGGCTAGATGGGGTTGTTGTGTTTTTGTTTTATTTTTATTTTCTTAATAGTAGTACCGTCGTATCTACTTGTGCACAGTATCTGTACCAAAAAACTGGATTGATGAGCTGCAGTCTGCCTGTTTGGGGAGGAATGAAATTCTGTCTTTTTCTGTCTGCAGTCACTCGACTGGCTTCGTACTTTAAGATATACCAAAAATATTTGTTATAGTAATTGCTGTGTGTAGTCGGTGTAGCTTAGTCTAGTCGATATATTTATGAGTACAGAATTTCTCTTCATTGTCAACAGAATATAGAAATGCAATATTTTGATGATCATTTTCCAAAGATGACCTTTTTTTTAATTTGACAAAGTGTCTCATCGCTCAACTTAAAAAATTGGCAGCACAAACTGACCAAAAACAGAGGGATTGGCGGGATGGGGCACAAGAAAATGTTCGTTTTTACTCATTTTGAATTGTTTTTTTTATCACCGGGGCCTCGCCCCTAACGCCTGATCCTGGTTATCCTTCAGCCATTTGATGGCTTAGTTTTCCTTTATCTTTATTGGCCATTTTGGTAGCAGTTTTGGACTTTTCTGAAGCAAAGTGGAAAGGTTCTGTTTTTTGGTTTTGTACTAATATTCAGCCATAAAACAACAGCTTGAACCAAAGTGGTTTTCCTCAGTAGTTGCCCTACTCTTCACACTGCTGACAAATTATTTTCCACTCTCTGCCTCGGTTAATACCGGATAGTCCTTATTTGGTTCTGCTAGATAAGGATCACAGAAACCTAGCTTTAACAACTTGCTGCTGGAGCTGAGCTGGTTAGAGGCCTGCATGCTCTCCTATAGCTTTATGAATACATCCTGTGAGACCAGGCCTGCCCTCTGGAGGGCTCACTTTTATGTAAATGCTGAGATCGGATCATCAGTAACACACCACACTTCCTCTCAGCATCGCCATTTTTGAACCAGCACGCTATGAAACGATATGCTGCTCCCTAAATCTGTCTGCGGACTAGTTTTAAAACCTGCCAAATTATCTTACTCAACACAGTGTTGAGCTAAGTACTGTTATGTGCTACACATTCAACTGAACCCCACATAAAAAAGTAGCATTGTTCTACAAAATGAGTTACCACAGCGTTGTTAGATCGCTGAGGTTGTAGGCAGTGAAGTTTGTCCATGTTTTCCTCTTGTGTACTTCTTTTCTTTTGAATTACTTTGACTGAATATACCTCAGCAGCACTTAACATAAGGTTCACCTTTAGACATTTCTGTGTATAGAACAGTGTAGAATGTATAAGTACCGTCTGGCTCGCCATTCAAAGTTTATACTGATGAACCAAACATAGGAACCATACATGGAAAGGACAACAAACTACTGCTATTTTCTAGTACTACTATTTATGGGGTATTTCCAGGTTTGAATATTATTTTGAGATCCTTCTTGCCAAAGGACAAGCCTTTCTCTTTGCAGCCGGGCGGGTGTCTGGCTGCTCACGTCGCTGGTTCCCCGTCTTCGAGGACTCGGTCCTGTTTCCGTGCTGTTTGTAGTTACTAAAGAGTTGAACATGTGCTAGCAAGATGAACCCGTTGCCATCGGCACCATAGGATGTTACTGAAATATTTATCTGAGGAAAGAATTAGAGAAACAATCTTTTCTTAATTCTATACATATAAATATATATATAAACACGTGTAAGATATTCATATTTTATATTTGAACCAGTATGTTATCAAGACTGAATGTAGTGTTTATCATGCTTACTCCAGAAAAAAACTCCCCTAAATCCTCCTTTTCTATTATTGCAAAATAACGATTTTTTTTTTTTTTTAAACTGACAAGACCAAAAAATAAGAAATCTGAGATCACGCCTCTTGTGTTTGCTCGGACACTCCTGACTGAAGCATCTGATCTTAATCTTTTAATAGTTTTGTTTGAGTCACGTGGACTTGATTTGTTGTGCTGTCTTTAACAATCATTTGATTTTTTTTACTTTTATGCCTTTAATTGTTTTGTATAGTGTGAGGGCAAGATCACTGGCTTTCTTAGTTTGACAAAGAAGATTAACATTATCATTTATGCCTTATTGTTACGTAGAAGACATGAGCATTGTAGCATTGTTGTTGTGTGTGTGTGTGTGTGTGTGCGTGTGTGTGTGAGAGAGCTTTAGATCACCAGGTGCACCGTTTTCACTGAAACAAAGCGGTGCATTCTGGGCATTTTGGAGAGTGGGATGATTATGTTGCGACCTTTGCTTTTAGATGTTACTCAGACAGGTTAGGGATACCTGTGAGAAAAGCTTTACTAATAATTCCAGCAGGTGGGTGTGAGTGTGTGTGTGTGTGTGTGAGTGTCTTTTAAAGAGAGAATAGTGAGTACAGTCTGCAAACCATTATGGTGCATTTGATCCATCTTCCAGTGGGTTTTTGAGGGTGATTTTCTTTAAAAATGGTGAGACATAAGAGTACTTTTTTTGTTGGTCCATACTGGGGTCTTTATCGATATCTAAAGCCTAAAAGCAAGCCAGTTAAAGAAAAGAAACTACAGTTTGGGGTCATTGTGTGAGTGTTTTTATCTATTAATGATCTTATCTACTGTCAACTAAAGTTTTTTTTTTTGCCACTGGCTCTGCTTTGATGCTGTAGTTTCATAACGTGATCTCCAGATTTCAAGTTGCTCTTGTGGATCAGCCGTGCATCAAGTTGTAGTTTGTTGAACCCACCACTGGTTTGCTGGTTTTTAACATTGACAAAGGAAGTGTGGAGCACCAGTTAAGGCAAAAAGAGCTGTTGTATACCTCATTTCTAACTCAAGACTGAGTGAAACCTGCTTTAATCTACTTAAGAAATATAAAATATTATAAAAAATCACAAAAAAAAGAAGAAAATACAGAAACTGTCAGTGGAGAAGCCCGTTTATACTGTACTTGTGAAGGGTTGTGGAAAATAACACCACAAGGGGGAGACAGAAATACATACCTGTACTCATGAATGTCTGCTGTTTTTTCTTTTTCACAATTTGGTGTTTTTGATGCTGCACACTGATGTATTTTTCAGCCTTTTATGGGATTGGTTTGTTTTGTAACTTGAGATTTATTTTAGCGTATTATATTCCTTTGAAAAGTTACTTTGAATAGACGACCCCCTCCACATTTGAACACTTTAAGTTTGACAATCCTGTTTTCTATTTAATTTTTTATTTTCACTCTGACTAAGTGCAGGTATGTACGCGTCTCCCCACATGACCCGCTCTCCTGTGGTACCAACAATAACCAAAGACTTCTAACTTGATTGTAAACGAAACGACGCCCGTCTCTCGGCCCATCCCCGCCTCACTGCTCAGATCAAATCCCGGCTGCACGCTCTCATCCGAGTCCTCGATTCATTTGCTTTTTACTGCATGTGAATGTGTACCCGCCCCGAAAAAACACTCGGCGGTTTCAGTGCCTGTGGGCGGGGATCGGAGGTGGGACGGGGGGTCGAAAAGGGGCCGAACGGGCTTCTCCCACAGACATAATCTTTTGGTAGCTGGGTGATGTTTGTTAATACACACTGAGGGTTAATCCTGTGCACACTGTACATGCTCAGGACTGTATGTTTGTTGTTATGTTTCCCCGTCCACTCTTTCTCTCTCTCTCAAGGACTGCGGTGAAACTGCTCTTCCTGCCTCTGTCTCTTCCTCATCACACTGTATAGTCCCAGGACATTTTACCCTGTTGTCTCCAGGAATACACATCCTAAACTCACTGCTGTGTCCCCTCCTCCCTCCTCTTCTGCTTCCTCCTTTGCCATCGTCTCTTCACTACAGACTCTGATCCGCTGTGACACTATGCATCATGGTCCTGTCACTCTGCATGGACTGTGTCCCAGTGACACTTTGTTTAAGGCTTTACTCCGAGTGAGGTTTGAAGGACCTCACAAGCGCTATCCCAAAGCAAAAATCCAAATATTTAACTTTTGACAAATGCAGATACCAAAGATATCTCTCTGTCCTGTGTCTTTCTCTGTCCTTCTCTCCCTTCCACCCTGCAGCATGTGTATTAAGAGACAAACCCAGCACTGGCTTTAGTCCTAGCCTCAGTGATTCCAAAGCTTAGATGTATATTTTGGTATATTTCTGAGAAAATCTTGCGTGAAAAGTTTCTCGTTTGTTGTAATCTCTTTTTTTTCTGTCACAGCATGGAACTAATTGCAGAACTGTCTTACTCTTGGTAGGTTAAAGATATAGTATTTTTGTATGTTTTTGGGGTGTGTTATGTGTGTGTGTGACCATGGCTTTCAACAAGATAGGAAAAATGAGAAAACCAAAAAAAAAATGCCAACCATGTACATAATATGTTTGTGTATCTCAAGAACTGCATTATGTAACACATGTACTACTCACGTTGGAAAGCTTGGGCTCATCTAAAGGAATGTGTCCCTGATTTATTTCCCTGTTTCTTACTCTGCCGTCTGATAATAATTGTCGTTCCAGGACTCTAATTTAAGGAGTCCTGATTTCCATCATGGACAACAACTCTGTGAGAAACTGCTCTGATTTGACTACAAGGAAAAAAACAACTAAAAATACTGCCGTAAAGTACGGCGTAGAACTGAAAGGTTGTGTAGGAGTTTTAAGTATGTGAATCAGGATACATAGTAGATTTTGATGCATTTGTCTGCTGTATTTTTGTTTGTTTTGTTTTTATACACATATAAAAATAATCTTTTACTGTAAATGTACAGTTCTCTTTTGTTGTAAACATCATTAAACCATTTTCCAAGTGTTTTGATGTGCTTTGTCTTTTATTGGCATTCAGTTACAGCTTGATATTCAGAAGCACACATTCTAAGCCATGCAGGCTTTTTTTCATTTTGTGCCCAATAACTTCTAAAGTTAAACAAGCGACAGAATTTATGACCCTATCAGCTTCTGCTATACTTTATGTGTAGCACTAATTAATTGTATCATGCTAACACACTAAAAAAACATGTAGACACTGTGATGTCTTAAGTTACATAAAGGGCTTGTTTACATCCCTATCAGCTTCTGCTTTAGCCTACATTGCGTTTAGCATTGTTAGCATAATAAGGTCTTAAGTTAAATAAAAGACTTCTTGGACTCCCTAACCGCTTCTGCTATACTATGTGATAAGCATTCATTTATGTTAGCATGCTAACACACCCTAAATAATCTAGCAATAAGGTCTAAAGTTATATTAAATACTTTGTATTATACCTATCAGCTTCTAGTATACTTTATGTTTAACACTTATAAATGATAGCATGCTATCAGGCTAAATCATCATGTCACTATGAGGTCTGTGTAGATGTATTAACATCCCTATCAGCTTCTGTTATACTTTGTTTAGTGCTATCTAGTAAATGTTAGCATGCTATCACGCTAGGCTACAAGCAGAAAATAGTCAATATAAATGCTACACAATAACACAATCATCCTTTTTGAGACGCTTAATGTAAAGAACTGTTTTGCATTTCTTTCTCGATTTATCACTTAAACAATCATTGATCATCAAAATAGTCGATTTGTTTTGATCGATTAATCATCTAGTTGTTTCAGATCTAGGACTCGAGGGGAGCTGAGGCCGCCGCCGGAGACTCGTAGGGATCTTTATCCGGCACACCTTGGGTCGACTGTAGAGGAGAGAGACAGAGTTTAACATGTGTATTCATCATTATTATATTATTATTATTATTAGACCAGTTTATTTTGTAAATATTTTTTAACATTTTTAAAAGAAAACCATTTGCCTTGCCTGTTTCTTGTTATTCTGACTACATCCTAGAGAATTTATTATGTTTGACATGTGTGAACCATGTGAGTGAGTTAAGCTTCTTACCTCAGATTTATTTTTCTTGGCAGCTTTTTTCTAGAAAAGATCAAATACAACACAGTGATTGACAGTTTCGGACCGAGCAGAGACAGAAAAGTGACCTTCAAAAGTCTTCTGTTGCTTACTTTTTTCCCTTTTGAAGGTTGGAGCACATCGTAAGCATCTGTATCCTTTGCTCTGTCAAGCTCCTGCAGGAGAAAAGTGTAAATAAATGTGTTAAAGCTGAGCAGTTTAAACATCATCTGTTCATCTAGTGTGAGAGCTCGTCTTACCTGGTAAATGCATGCCTTATCTCCCTTCTTAGTCGGTGAGAAATACACAAGAAAGTGAGATAGTCATCAAGCAAAAACACTCATACTCACATCAATATACATGCTTTATATCAACCCATTATTAATAAATAAAAGGAAAACATGGCGACTTACTTCATCAGTCAGAGATAAGGCGACAAACTACACAGAGAAAAAAACAGCATTTTATCAAATTAAAACATCCAATAAGAAGTCTGCAACCTTATGACTATTTCAAGTAATTGATTAATCACTATCAACTCCCATCACAAGTTACAAAGGTGTATTTATTTAGCAAAAAATGACAATTATTTATTGTGATAAATTGTTGCTTGTCCTTATATGAAACCATTATTAATGTTTTTAAGTGGCGTTTCAGGTTGTTGGGTAGACAAGACAACATATGAAAGAAAATGTGTATACAAGATTAATAAAGAAATCCAAGAAGTAAATAAAAGATTAAATGATAAAGAAAATAAAGTATTGGCAGAATTTTAAATGAATAATAAGTTATTACAAAATGTATTAGGTCGTTTTTCCGACAAGTTATTAATATCTTGCTGGTATTAATAACTTATCTCACCTTTTCCCTGAAGAAGAGCCCGGTGGCAATGATGCAGTAAAGGGTCAGAAACGCATCCAGGAAGTAGCAGATGTGAGGGTGAGTGAAGAACGTCTCTACGGGACAAACACAAGAGAAAAACATCATGAATATTAAACTTACACACATTTCTGAGGGATTTCAACACATCATTTTTGTGTTATTTTTCCTCCACTTAAGACATTTATAACCAGAGGGGAAATTGAAATGATTTATAGGCATTCATTTATGTGAACAATAAATAAGTATTCTTATGTATTTGTTATAAGTGTATTGTTAGTACTTTGGAGAACCCTATTTGGGTGTTATGACAAATTTGTGCTTACATTATTTGGTACCCCACATTTAAAAAGGTCTGCCACTGGACATGCTTTATATATTTCTTTAATATATATCATTATGATATAATTACTTTAAAACATGAGTAAAATGATGTGTGTGCTTCTCCTCTGACTTCAGAAAAGTACGACACATGGTCTTAACGCGCGTGTGTGTGTGTGTGTGTGTGTGTGTGTGTGTGTGTGTGTGTGTGTGTGTGTGTGTGTGTGTGTGTGTGTGTGTGTGTGTGTGTGTGTGTGTTAGATGGCATACAAGATATCCACTTCGCAACATGGGATGGAAAACAGCCTCATAGTGAAGCAGTTCATGATTGAGTAAGACCCCTGAAACAGGAAGTAATGCACTACATATCTGTGGTACGGTAGATTAACACTTCCTGTCAGAGTGACGGCTCTGAGAGGCCCGTTTATCTCGCTCTGTGGTCGGAACAGAAGCCATAACGTGAGAGCACCAGTAGTGGAGATTAAATGAAGCTATCACCAAATCTTGATGTCTACATTTACTTGAAGTTGTCACATGTCTTACTTTTAGATTATATTTAGGTGTAAACAGGAAAAGTGTGTAATAACTGTTGCTGAGTTGGTGGGATAAGCATTTCTGAGAATTTCTGAGAATTGCCGTCAATGACCTGCTAAGCCCACCACCCAGTTTGTTTTAATTTGTTTTCTTTCGTTTTTTATATAATATACATACATTATGTTTTAACACATTTATTGTGAGATCGTTTTGTTACCAACCTGAGCTTGATAGAAAAGTAATCAAATAAAAATGTATATAAAAACATTTGTAAAATGATAGGAACACATAGAATTAAAAAAACAAGCCAAACCCAAATTAAAAAATATATAACCAGAGAGATATTTCTTTATACAGGTGCGGGGATTGTGAAGATGCTTCATTAACACACACATGAATTATACTAAGATATCTAACATATGCAATTTATTAATAAAGTGCTTATTATTACATGATTGTGTTGGTTATAAAATCCATAAAACTTCCCTTAGGGGTAGAACTATTATGGCATGTGTGCTTTAAAACATTTGTTCTAATTGATACCGTCCTCTAATATCTGTTTGTTAAAAAAATGATAATACATCTTACAGCCGGTAAGCTTGGTTAAACACACACATTATACAAATAGACATGTTGTTTCATTTAGTTTGGTAACTTTAAAACCAGTAATAGTAGTAACCAGAAAACTGGTATTGTGAGACATTGACATGCTCTTCTAACAGAAATGTGCTGATTGAATACAAACTTGAACTCTGTTTATTCAATAAGAAGCTACAACCAGATGGCAGTCAGTTTAGGAACAATCTGCTCATCTAACTCATCAAGAAGGTCATTGTATTTTCAAAATGTCAAACTAGTCCTTTAACTTCTCAATTGAAGTTCAAACCAAACATTGTTTATTTTATTTTAAATTCGACTGGAAATCCTCAAGTAAAGAAAATAGTGTGAGGTTGAATTTTGAGTAATGTGTGTAAACTACTTCTAAAATACTTCCAGTTGATTAAATAATGATGTAGTCTTGGCTATGAATATTGAATCACTTACTGCTAACATTGTTAATATACAGTAATTGAAGGCAAAAAAGAAGGAGACTGCTTTCAGGATCTAAAGATGTTATTTCATGTAAAAATGTGCTGCATTTGGTCATTTTTGAAGCTATCACATCACACATTTTCTTAAACACTTCATAGCGCTTGTTTCACACATACCCTGGTGAATATAGTAAACATGGACCATGACATTTCTTTGTGTTTAGCAACAAATCATCAGCGAGTACGAATTGAAAAATTAAGCAATCGTGGCTTTCAGGAAGTCACAATGTCACAAATATGCAGTGTTCAAATAAACCTATAAATATGTCTATGGCAGCTTCCTTCTACACATTGTATAGTGTGTTTTACTTCAGAGGGAGTTTTAATGCTGTGGAAAACTACATTTGCTGTTTTCACATTCAGTATATTCTGATGGGAGATTATTTATTCATGCTTTCCTGTTAATCCCTTCATCACGATGTATCTGACTGAAATACATGACAGGACTTGAAAGTGTTTTTTGATCACTTAGAAAATAATTTTTCACAACCCTCCTACAACATGAAAGGGAGAGCCTGGGAAACATCAAATGCACAGAAAACTTCTCAAGTTTAGGAAAGATAGGCAGCGCGTTGTTGCGTAATTTTATGGGATGAATTATATAAAGACACATATTTAAATATAACTAGACTATCTGTAAAACGCGTTTCATGAGCGTCTGAGAAATATAATGTAAGCAAAGAGCCTCTAAAAACAAAAGGAAAAAACATGTTTATTATCAGATCAGTTTGCCTCATTGATATACAGCAAGATTATATACATCTGTTATGTTTGTTTCCAATATAAGGAACTGTTCTCATAACATTGAATGGAACATTTAATTATTCTCTCCTTACCTTACCATGTAAGAAAACCTCAAACGGCTCTACTTTTTTCCACAAGATGCTGTGTGGAAAAATATCTTCTATCATCTGTGACTCTTTTGCAACACATGTATCAGATATTTTCGTATCTCTCTGTCTTCATCTATCCGAGCAGAGAAGGCCCGTGTTACGGAAGATATCCGGACATAATTCAAAATGCATACAAGTTTGGTTTAAAATGAGTCTCTTAACACTTACTGACTGTTTTCAAATGCCAGCTGGGTGTTTTATTTCCTCTATCACATATACAAACATTTGACCCCAACTCACATGTAAAAGGTTTTGTATTTGAGGAACTTACCCGCAGAGCAGACAGGCAGCAGGACAAACAGCAGAAATACACCTGACCTCAGGGCGTCCATGACTCTTTCTGCACAAACTGAAGCTTTTCTTTGTGTCTTTCTGTCCTGGTTGTGTCGGATTGCCTCACTCTTAATGTTTTCGTGTTGAGAGGAAGTGGCTGAACTGACTACCTGCCAATGGACTGAGTCGTTTGCTGTGTGAACTTCAAAGAAGAAGCCCAACCTTCAACACCCACTTTTAAGTCACGCTGACAGACAGTCATGTTCACTGTTTCCTTCTTTAAAACCTCAATAAATGTGTCCCTCCAGCTTCACTAATGAGTTCCTCTTCCTCTTTATTCATCTTAGATTATATGTACAATAAATTCTCCTTTACTTGAATAAACCCTGAGCTATTTCCCTGTTTAAAGTTGCAATGTTAAAGATTTGGCATGTATTTTAGTTGAAATCATTCAGAAAAGGGCTGGATGCTCAAGGAGATGTTTGTGATTTTTTAATAAACAATTTTTGTAATGATTTTATATCCTTATTGTTGCCGTCTCCTCGCTCTTTCTAACTGGCTGGTTGTGGCAACATTTTCATCAGTAGCAAAGTGCATTTCCAGGAATCGACTATGCCAACAAAATAGCCACACCTAGTCTGTTGCAGGCCACATTTTGGCATTTAGTTTGCCAAAAAAACGAATATCCATAGAAATGTTTGGTCTCATTTTGAACCAGAGCATCTACAGATTAATCCCATACACAATATGTTTTGATCCACTGATGTAAAACCAGATATAAGAAAAATAAGCCCTCTGCTTTTGTTTACTTTCTGCCATTTTGACGGTAAGGCAGCTGGGTGCATTTTTAGATTCTGAATGGTCAGTATTATAAATTGTGAAACTAAAGGTGTATTAGTTTATAAAATAACAATGAAAGGAAAACATATATTTTGACTTTAGGTGAATTGGGTTCCTTTATCCTCTGGACCTCAAGAGACATATTGCTACAGTTTTCTAAGGTACTTCAAGGGATGAACAACCTCTAAAAGTGCAGCATTTGTCACTGGCATGTAAACCACACCTTATCAAGCAGAGAGTAGAAATCTGATTGTACAGATTATAAAGTAAAACATGTGGCTGTTGGTTAACACGAGAACATTGGCAGACAGCAGACAGATTGATTGGACATTTGCAGCCGGCTACAGTCTGTTGAAGGGACTGTGTGTTCAAAGGGTCCACGGATAAGTTGACCCCCATGATACTTAAATGTTAGTGTGTGTCTGTGTAAAGGAAGAGGTTACAGACGTTAGACCTCTGCCTCTTTCAAAGGGTCGCGTCTGTCTCAAGTGGCATAATCACACTGATCTGTGAGGAAATTATTGAGCTATCAGGCAGACAAGTGAGGTCGGGTCAGGTTGCACAGAGAGGAGACTTTATTTTGACACTGGTGTGTGAAATGTCCAGGGACTTTTGACTGGGGTCTGACCTCCGGGGCCTTTAATTAGACGCCCACATTCAAGCTTCTGGAGCCTGTGAATTGGCCAGATAGATACATCTAGTGGGTTTGATTGAGGGACACAGTGAAGTTAACAATACAAAACAAAACTGACCAGCTCACAACAGCTAGATAAACAATGATGATTGCAATTACATTTATATTTATCGGACAAACCTTGCTATATTGCAGTTTTTATGTAGTCGTTATCTGCAAAGTAGGGTGAAAATACAAAACAAATTAATGTGATTCAAATAACAATATTAGTCTCTTATTTGTTTTAGTTTAGTGAGTGTAGTGGCATAAGGTACCTTAAAGGTCCCATGTCATGCTTTTCTGGTTATTACCCGTCCCCTTGTGTGTTATGAAGGTTTGTATGCATGTAAACAGTCTGCAAGTCACAAACCCTCAAAGTACACCCTGTAGCGAGTAAAACTCTAACACAGAAAAGCCCTGTCTATGCTGCCCCAGAACGCCTCGTTGGAGATTTCTCTTTTTCTTCCTGGGTACAGTGACGTGCCCACCATACCCAAATGGACCCATTGGTCCAAATGGACCAATCCGTGGAGCCGTTACATTACGTCCGCGGAGCCGTTACGTTAAGTCCGTGGATTGGTCCAAATGGACCAATCCGCTGACTTCCTCACACACACACACTCAATCTTTTCTCAGTTGCAGCTCCCGATTTCTCCTCCCTGAGACGGCGGGACGCGGCGAGGCTGCCAGGCTGCGGGTGTGTGTGTGTGTTCAGGCTGGTTGCGGGCTGGGTTTCGCTGTGTCTCGCTGACGGCCACTGGGCTCATAGGGAGGGGGGGGGCAGGAGCTCCAACAAGCCGTTTAGGACAGAGAGTGAATACACATACTATACAGAGATGCTGTATGAGAAACCAATGTGATTTTGGAAAATTGCACAATATAAATCTATTTTAGTATACCTCAACAATGGAATTATGATCAGTAGAAATGGCCATGACATGGGACCTTTAACATGGTACTTAAATACAGCATCTACTTTAGTAAATGTAACTTTCCATCAATCTTTGTAATAGGTATCCTCCAAAAATGCATTTAGTAGAAAATAATGTGTAAAGCATACATTTAATATAATACAGCATAGTACAAAATACATGTCAACAAAATAAACAAGGTTAAATAAAACAAATATGTGGGATTTATATAAATGGTTATATAGAAATATATATTTTATTGATCACTACACAAAGATAAAAAAAAAGGGAATAGTAAAATATAAGGGTCATGAATTAAAACAATAAAAAGTGACATATTTAACCTACAAACATTTTTACAAAATACAGAATAGTACCTCGAAAACGCACTTCAGCTCAGCAAATACACTTTCCACCACTCATTAATGCATGACATTGTCGTATTGAGACTTTAAAAGCCGTGATTAATCCTTTAACTCTTAACAAAAACCACTTAATAAGCATGTCATGTGGCTGCTGTGCATCACGTGACTTTCTGTTTTTTTTCTTAAAGCCCGTCACATGACACTGATGTCAGTTTGTGCTGAAGCTGCGGTGATAAAGTGTTAAAAGGCGAGCTAAATTAACTTCTCAGCTAGCAAATATACACCATACAAAGTTTAAACGTGGTGCCAGAAACGTCAGTGTTTTTGTTACCAGAACCAGAGCTTTATCATCTCAGTAAATCCAGTGCGCTTGAGTATTATTTCTCCCTTTGCTGTTGTTGTTACGCTAACGTTAGCTTAGCTAGCACAACATCTTGCTAAGCTAGCCAGTTAGCCGCTTCTTGTTGTTTGTGTCCCTGAGAAGCAACTGGAGTGTTACCGAAGAGAGAAGCATGACTCAGATCGGTGCTGTTCAGTCATGGTGGCTGGGATTAACGTTACAGTTGATTTTAGGTGAGTATTGGCCCATTTCTATTATCGTTTACTACGTTAACCGGGCGAGCAAAACAGTAACGGTTATTGTTTGATGACGTCACATTCCTGTTCCCTAATGTTAGCTGACGTTTAGCTATGGTCACTATATAAACTCTCCTTAACTAGATAGTGAAAAGCAACGTTTTCTGTGTTTTATAAGGGTTTAAAATGTAATAAAACCAGATCAATTAAAGATCAAACAAGCAGCTGATTTGTCAGGCCTACATATGTCAGTTAACTTGATTTTGGTTGCAGAATTGTATAAATGTTATACGGTTTATCCTAACGTTACATGATGGACTGTTTAATGATGCGTTCACGTCTCTCTCTGTTGTTTTGGCGCAAGTAAAGGCGTCAGTCTCAGTTCAGTCTGCGGATTAACTCAAACTGAGTTCAAACTATGGAAGCGTATCTGTCAGCAGTAGTGTAAAGTAACTAAGTACAATTTTGTGTATTTTCACATTATGCTACTTTAAACGTTCACTTCATTACATTAAGTAACTCGCTACTTTGCAGGTATGGATTTATAATACAGAATATAAATCAACCAATAAATCATGTGTTTTTAATTATAGGTTAAGCTACCCAGCAGTATAGCAAGTTATTTAAATAACCCCCACCTTTACCAAGTTAACATTGACATTAATGCATTAAAAATAATTATACAATACAAAAATGTAATATTTTTACATCTGAAATGGGCCATACTGAGAAAATTACTTTATGTACTTGAACTTTAATGCCAATACTTTTGTACTTTTTACTTGAGTACAATTTTGAATACAATACTTTATATGTTAACAATGCTACTTTTACTTGTGTAAAAGATCTTCTTACACTTCTGTATGTCACAATATATAACATCAACGATAGCTTTTAAAAGGGTGTTGTGTTCTCATCCAAGTGTTTTCTTTGGTTAAATGCACAAATCACTTAATGCTGTTATAATCCTTGAAATTTGAGCTACCAAATATACGTGCAAGATAGATATTTTTACTTGCGTAGGCTTTGATATCTAATAACTAAAGGGTTCTCATAAAGTGTCGTTTTAATTATGTATTTAGCATTGAACACATTGCACCTCTGAAAATCGTAACTTTTAACTGAAACCTTCTTGCAGCTGGCGTCCTGCTCCAGGGCTTTGCTGCTGGTCAGACAACGGAGCCCATGAGACCTGAGAAGGGTAACTATGTGGTGAGCAGCAGCAACGGGACGGCCTGTTTACTGGCCTCCATGGGTCTCCAGCTCAACATCACCTTCAACTCCGTGTCCCAGAATAAGGTGCCTAAATATAAACCCTCAAACAGCTCTCTGAATTCAGTCACATTAACTGGTTCCAAATGCTAAATGTAAACTCCTTTCTTTTCTTTTTTACAGACTGTGCGGAATATTGTGAACCTCCAGCCGAATGTGACAAAGTCCTCTGGATCATGTGACACAGACACCGCCTCCCTGCGACTCTCAACAGATGCAGAGAAGACCAACCTCAACTTCTTCTTCTCACTGGTGGGTAACTCCAGCCTCACAACCTGCTGTATAACATCTCTTGTATTTCATGAAACAGCCACTAGATGGCAGCTGGAGCCCGAGGTAATCTCACTTCACTGCAGTGTAGCTGATTTTTGTTGCTGTTGTTTTTCTTTCCAGAATACTACGTCCAATAAGTACCACCTGAGTAACGTGTCTCTGTCTGCAGCCTGGCCAGACATGAAAGGTGAGTGCACTTAAACCTTGCAGTATTTCACCTTTTATCATATAATGTCAAACCAATGCTGTGGTCAGTTTTTGGAGATCGTTCTTTCATTTAAGTGATTACGCTTAGGACCTTGTAAAATAAATCCAAACAGAAACCTACTCTGCCTTGTAACTCAATAACAGACCGTGATTTGGTGTTAAAATATTGTAAATGAGATGGAAAGAAGACACAGTAGTGCCCTATAAATGGATATGAGTCAACTGAGCAAACAATTCACTAATGAAGATGCAATTAAAAATTAAAATGTGCAGACTTCGAGTTAGGATCATTTCTAGCATTGTACCAATTCTACTAATGTCCAAAATGAACTTAATGGCCTCTGTGAAATCATTCACAGAGGCCATTAACATTTCCTTCCTGTTTGAACCACAGCTGTCACCTGGTAACTGTAAAGCTAGTTGATCTGTAACTCCTCCGCTCATCTTTGGTCTCCTGCCGCCGTTCTTTATTCTGTCTGTAACATTGTTGTCTTGCTTATTTTTCACTTAGCCCAGAAGCGATTCTGCGTTTTTAAATTTTATTAAACAAGATTATTATGTCTTGAACAAAGCAGCCACCTTTTCATTCTCTATGCAAGGTGGTGAAACATTTAGTCAAAGGCACAATCAGTTGAGTTTCCTTAAAGGTCCTTACACACCGAGCCGATTTCGGCCGTCGATAGATGTCTGGCCGTCGATGAGCGTCCTGTCGCCCTACTCAGATTAGTGTGTCCCACCCCGTCGTGTATTTTCGGCCGTGCCGACACCTTCCACCGCCGATTCAACATGTTTGAATCGGGAGGCTGTCGGCAAAAGAAATCACTCTGATTGGCTGTTCAGCTTAGCAAATCAGTGCATGAGAAGCTAAACGGAAGTGAAGAAGGCACACACAGACGGCTACTATTTTTCATTTTCCAGTACCGCACTAAACATGTTTTCGATTATAAGTCGTTATGTGAAACAGTCTGTGAAACAGTCTGTGATGGACGAGAGTGAAAATGGAACACACGCTATTTGTTGTATCACGCAGTCTGTCTTCCGGTTACCTCTTTTTAATTAAGAATACACACTACCGCCGCCTGCTGGTAAGGAGAGTTATTGCCACTCACGCATGCGCAGTGCATACGTGCTACTTGGCCGTCGGCTGAAGTCTTTGCGATGTGTTCCAGTGCGACTGTTTGGCCAAGACGCAGCAGACGTGAGGCGACACAACAATCGGGTCCGTCGGGACGTGTTCTTTGGTGTCAGTTTGGTGTGTCAGGGCCTTAAGGTTATTGACAAATACAAACATATCTCTTGCAATAATCACTGATAACCCACTACTAATGTGTGGCAGTGTTCTTGGAGTCCAACATCCAACCCAGCGACCAGATGTCTGATTGTAAACACACATCTAAGATGATACAAAAATGGCACTGAAAAACACAAATATAGCGAGGCAAAATGCCAAGTGGACAAAGCCTGTTCCAGAAAAAGACTAGTGGTTTTCTCGTTTTGTATCACCTCTGTATTATTTTTGTTTTACTGAACACATCTTCCTCTGTAATCACTCTCTGCTCTGTTTTGTCCCATAGAGCCCGTCTCGGCTGATAACAGCAGTCTGGACTTCCTGCGCGGCACCCTGGGGTTCTCCTACATGTGTCGTGAGCAGCAGACTCTGACCGTGTCCCCGGATCTGTCCATCAACACCTTCCAGCTGCAGGTGCAGCCCTTCGGCGTCTCAGGAGATCAGTTCGGAGCAGGTACAACTACAGACGCTTTCAAATGTAGCTTTGCATGTCTTTCGCTATATTCTCTAACACTATCACACTTAAGATTAAACATCTACAAACAAAATTCGCAATTTAAATGAGAGGATTTATTAATATTATTTAATTAACTTCACCAACACATATGGATTAGAGCTGACCTTTTTGTTGGATACATTTTTGATATGATAACATCCATCTTTTTCTTTTGTATAATGTGAACTTTTGTGACAAAGCTCTTGTAAATGTTTGGATCACAAACGGCAAAAACAATCATACGCAGCGATCTCTGGAATCTAATCATACAAACAATATGAAACAATACATGTATTGTATCTTTATCTGCATCTGTGCGATTAAGGCAAAAACTATGATCACAATTATTTTGATCAATATTGAGATCATGATTATGAGTTTAAGTGACAACAAATATTTTTTTGCACTTTCTCATTTCAATCCTTCAAATGTACAAATTAGGGCTTCACCATATGGAAAAAAACGGTATTACGTATTATTATTATGTATTACAATTTATAAAAAAAAAAAAAAAAACGTTACTTTTAAATGTTGCATTTGTATACTCCCTTTTTAAATGTAAATTCACTAATCCCGTGTGCTTTAAGAAGCTTCAAACTGGATGATTTCCCAGGTTTTGCTCTAATCTGTCCTCTCTGGCGTTCCCCCCCAGCTGAGGAGTGCCAGTTGGATGAAGACGACATGTTGATCCCCATCATCGTCGGAGCGGCTCTCGCGGGTCTCGTCCTCATCGTGCTGCTGGCGTACCTCATCGGCCGGAAGAGGAGCCACGCCGGCTACCAGACCATCTGAGGTCACATGACTCAGGGCAGAGCGTGCTTACCCCCACCCCCCCCGAGATTAACCACTGTTTTATGAGACTAAACACTCCACCCTGTGCCCCCCCTCTCCCCCGCCACCCCTCCACCCCTCACCCTCCCTGCCTGTGTGTGCTGTTCTTAGCCTTCATCAGTAACGCTAGTCATCATCACTTAGTGCAGGTTGATTTGCTCCTTCTGAACTGACCCGCTCATTTGTAAAAAAAAAAAAAGAAAAAGGAAAGGGGCTTTGTTAGGAGATTGTAAGGAAGTGAAGGAAAACTGGTACTTTAAGGGAGGGGGCGGATGTTGATCAGAGGTTAGCGTTCTCAATATGTAATGTACTATTTATGATTTCTGTGAAAGGAATTTTGAGGGATTGTGTGATTTTGAGGAAATGGCTACTCTAGCTTTTTCTTATCGGCTTTAAGGCGACCATTTTTAGTGGTCTTGCCTTTAATGAAGTTTGTTAATATATAAAAGGGAATATATCTGGCAGTCCACTTCAGACTGAAATGATCTGACGTTTTTTTATTGTAACTCTACATTTAGCCCAAGTTTGCAGATTTTATGTAACACACCTTAAACACATTAACCCGACTCTAAAAAGGATATGCAAGAAGTCCCCTTCGTAGCGTGAATTTTATTTTATTTACTAGGATTAGTTATTTTCCTCTTTACGGTACTCGGCACATTTTGTATGGAGACTGAAGATGCAGTTGTGAACTTTTTGTAAAATAGTTGGTTCCATTTGAAAGAATAATTCAACATTTTGGGGGAAAAAACAAGATGGATACCACTCGGATACCATCTGCACAGTAAATGTAAAGCTACAACCAGCAGCTGGTTAGCCTAGCTTAGCATAAAGGCTTGCAACAGCGGGAAATGGCTCGCCTGGCTCTGTCAAAGTAAATCCAAAAGCCTACCAGCACTTCTAAAACTTGCCTATTTACTCTGTTGATTCATCTGTGCAATGAAATATTCTGTAGCACCTAACCCTCCCATTTATCCACAATGTCACGTTTTGTATAGAACAAATCAATCTTGGATATATTGTGCTGAATGAGGTGATGGTGGGCAGATTTCTTAACTTTTGACAAGCAGTGCTAACTGATCCTCCCGTTTCCTGTCTTTATACTAAGCTAATTTAATCAGTTCAGAAATGAGAGTGGTTATCATCTTCTTCTTTCTTATGTAACTCTTATGTGGCTTATGTGGATGTAAAAGCTCAGGACATCACTGTTGAGTGTACAAATGTTGATATGTTACACTCCACCGGGTGGTTTTGTTTGTTTTCTTTTCCACTTGGGTTTTTGCTTCTGAAGTGAAAGAAGTTGCACTAATGTTCTGACAAACAGCCCCATGTAATGATTCAAGAGGCCAAAATGCTCCGGTCAGTGTTTATCAGTGCCTTCCCCGCAGTGACATAGATAGGATGAAAGTAAAGCCAATACCACAGAGGGACTCACTCACTGACACCGTGTGCTGCCATGTCGAGACTCTGTGTCTCACTAAGCCTTCATGTACCGTTACTACCATAGAAATGCATTGTTTGATGTTGTAGGAGAAAGTAAAGATATTATTTTCCATGTTTTTTTCTCCCTCATCTAAATATTCATGTAGTTATTTAATAAGGTTTTAATGGATTTGTTTGAACTGTTTGTTTTCTAAAGAAGAGGTCAATAAAACTGAATGAACGAGACTTTTTGTTTTGTCTTTACTATACGCTTCAGCAGTGAAACCGGTTCCTACATTATTTTGGAAATATAATTGGAAATTGTATTCTAGAAATGCATTATTAAATTCCTTTTTAACATCTACCATAGACTTAATTATATTACTGTATCAATAATAAATGTGCCTTTTTTTTTTTAATTGTTAAACCAGTTTTTGTATAGTTTCAGTAAAATGTAATTAGATTTTTCAGTCATTCAGGTTGTATGCCCTCGCGGTGTAAATCATCTTCTAACTAGACAGCTGAAATAAAAGCCTGCAGGACTCTAAACTGTAGTGTTTTAGCACCGTTCATTTTTTTTATCACATCTGAGCTCATAAGTTTTTGTCTCTGTACATGCAGGGAGGAGGAAAGTTGTCAAGACAACATTATGTAACTGTTAAAACAGCCCGCAGGCCCCTAGTTTACAAGAAGCTTTTTTCTTTATCTTTGTTTGGCACATGCATTTCTTTAGGTCCGCTAGTGTTAGGTTTCTAGTATAGAGTAAAACACACAGTTCTGTAAATGAATATATCTCATTTTATTTCAGAAAGTACAGTTTTAACTGTGTTTCAGTGCAAGAGACATCAATAACTATTTTCCATTAGACACATATTATCATTACTATATATATTATTATTCTCAAATATTATCCTCCACAATAATAAAACCACTCCCTACTACTATTAAGTTACAATACAATAGTGCAAGTAATAAAAACAATGGCCAATTTAAACACATTAGCATCAGGTGATCTTGAAGTATTTATAGCAGCAGAAATGTGAGACCATGAGCAAATGTTTACATCCTTTAGAGAGTAATATAGAAACGTATAACAGAAGGAAAAAATCCATGAGTAGTTCATTTGGAAATAGTTAATTCTTCCTGATATTAAAGTGTTGTCTACTTACACTGAATGAAAGGGTTTTATTAATCCAGTGAGAAAGGGTGGATCCAAAATGTTACCGGCGTCCGGATTCCTCCTCCAGTATTCGCTGTCTGCATTTCTCTCTGAGTTTATCGATAGTTCCCATCGACAGGGTCCCAGGTTCGGTAAATATCTTCTGTAGAAAGAGAATTTGATTTAATGTCACGCAATTGATTCTAATTATTCCTTTACAGGAGTATACACTAAGTAGTGTTTACAAAAAGTCTGTAATTTTCCCCACCATAAAAGCTCAGTCAGAATAAGCCTCATGTAAACACCTCATCTATAATTATCAGGCTCTGGATAAACTCCCATCCCAGGGGTGGCTTCAATTTGTCATAATCCGAAAAAAACTGTGAATATTTTTCAGACACCTCCTTTTCTGATCATTATACTTTTGGTAAATGTCTTCTCCTCAGTGCAACCTGACTGAATGCTTCTCAGGGAGGCCAGTTTAATTCGGCTTTTTTAATTAAAGGGGACCTATCATGCAAAATGCACTTTTGTACGTCTTTTATACATGAATATGTGTCCCCGGTGTTCCAGGGAACTCACCAAGTGTCAGAAAACACAACCCTCTCTATTTTCCTCCATACCCAAATCTCTGCAACGGATCTGATAAAAACTGATCCAGATTTGAACACTGTCCTGACGTCAGGACAGTGGCGCGACAGCTATTGGGCCAACTCCACCAATCAGGAGGAGACAGCCACGGCCATTGCCGTTCGAAAGCGCTGGAGACGCTGTAGTACATATGCCAGGCCTGTAGGTGGTGCTGTTCTCACAGAATCAACCCTTGCAAAAACAGAGCTAGAAATTGTCAAATTGAGCGAAATGAGGCATGACTAAAATGCATGATCTGTTTGGTATTTTGAAAAAAAAAAAGTATAAATATGCCTTATATAGGTATGGTCCTACACTATATTATTCAAATATAGCATGATAGGTCCACTTTAAGGAGTATATTCTACATTACATTACTTGTTACTTGTTAGACACTTTTATCCAAAGCGACTTACATACTCAATACTGTGGGCAATCCCCACACGAGCAATTTGGGGTGAAGTGTCTTGCCCAGGGACACAACGACATGCTGACTGCAGTGGGGTTTGAACCTGTGACCCCCTGATCCGAACACATACGCACAACCCACTGCGCTCCCTTTCTACTATTGAATTTATAATGTTTTAAGTATAACCTCCATAAATGAACCAACCATTATGCAAAGCACTTAGGATCTGAAACAGTTACTGCAACAACATTGATAATCCGTCAAGATTTTAAGTTATTTTCTTCCTGGCTTTTAAAAAAATGTTATATAGTAGAAATTAGATTATATTTGTGTTTAGAGCTGTTATCTGGATAAAACAAGACATTTTGAAAATGTGACTATGGGCTCCGCTTACTTTCGTCTGAATGTTTCACTTTTTGCGTACATACAGTATTCTAGACCAAATTATAATTAGATCCATTGTCAAAGTATTCACCAGAATAATCCCTTATGTAAAAAAGGGATTAAAGCAGGTGGACCTTTTGCTAAAGTTTGCCAGTGGAGGAGAGCTAATGTTCAAACATCTCTTATCCCATGTAACAACAGCCAATGATAATGTCCTTTCTCATCGCACCTGCATGAAGGTGTGGCAGTCCAGAGTGAAAGCTCCGCAGGTGATTTGTTTGAAGCACTCGCACACATCCGTTAGTGAACGAGCGCGCAGGATCTCCGGCTGGTGGTGAATGATGAGAGTCAGAGCAACACGGAAAAGAACCTTTGAGCCCTCGTAGAAAAGACAATCCCAGACCCGCAGAACTGTCTGTAAGAACAAGGAACAAGAACAATTAGTGCTTCGACATTGCTTGAATTCCTTATTTGTCTATACTATTAAACCCCAACTTTTCCTCACCTCAATTGGGAGTACGTCGATGTAGAGGCAGATGAACCAGCGAGACACCACCAGCGTCCAAATGCCGGGATACTGGTCCATTAACTGTCCGACTGCAGGAGATTTAGCCTTCACCAGCTCCCCGAGAACCTCCTGGTCGGTCTTCAGACCCATCATGGCCGGACTGTAGAAATCTACAATATCCACAAAGTATAGGAATTTACTTTTATTTTTGTTTTGTTCATATCTCTTTTTTATAAATCTAGTATCAAATTGCAATGTTTTAGATGGCTGTAGTAGTCCAGAATGAATGTTCAATGTGGAGCTCCACAAGGCTCCAACCTGGGTCCATTACTATTTAGCCTTTTTTATTACAATGAGTCATAACGAACAAGCTATTACTATTCATTTGCAATTTGTAGATAATTCTATTAACACATTATAGTCAGCCTTAATTCTCTTAAAAAGCCTGACATCAATGACCCAAAATTGCTTCAAGTGGGTCATGCTATAACACTGAACAGCAGAGGCAAATTCATTTTAATGTTATCACTGATGTAGAAAATATACACTTTGGTCTCTCTTCCCCTTATAAACAGGAACATATGCAGACCTTTGTTGCAGGTAAATTATCATGCAACACTGCTCTCAGATCTGCCTTGAAGTGTGTATTCATTCAGTATGCTAATGCTGGCCCATAGCTTTAATTTGAACACTAGATGACAGTATTACTGATTTGAAAGAGTTTTAATATCAACAACTTTTTTGTAATGCTTTATTTGAACTTTTCTTCCATTTTTTATTTGTAGACATTCAGTTAATATAATGCTTTACAAATAAAGTGAGACGGATTTAAGGCCCTGTGTCACTTTGGAGTCTGATTAGACTTCTCTGCCTTTTTATTGACATCTCCAAAACTGTCCTGTCACTTGTGTTGTAGCTGTGGTGGCTGGGCGACTCGTACTCTTTTTAAACACTTGTCGGTGTTTGCATGACCTTTCATAGTGTTTGTGAAGATAAAGAATACAAATAAAATCTACCTGGGAGCATTCTTCCCAACAATGCATCCATGAGCCAGAAGGAGTTCTCTTCATTTTTGGTGATGATCATGAGGTAGCCTGCAATGAAGTTCATGCCCTGACACAAACAGAGAGAGCGATGATTACATAACAGTGATTTACAGACACATGCACCCTAATACCTGGCAAGACTAGACATATCCTCAGCAACAACATATTTCCAACTCGCTAAATCAAAGAGCTTTTACACCAATACATTGTTAACTTGTTATGGTTGCATGTCTGGGGGAAATAGATAACTACACAACTTTTTACATTAAGCAAACCCATTGATTTAAACATTTAAAAAAGTCTGTGACTACTGTATACATCAAAATGTAAATCAGTATTTTAATTTAAGCAATAAAGTGTGTTGTACAGGAAGAGGAATTAGTACATGTTGCAAAGAAAGGGACATGTGGGTTGTTTGTATTTAAATGAATAAGGAACTAACTGGTCCTGTTCTTTAGGTAAACAATGAGAGGAAAACGTATGAGCTTTCCTCACCTGACAGTAGCCCACTTCCTTATTGTGGTGTCCGTACGCCAGCAGCACGTTGAACAGAGCGCTCTGCAGACTCGGTTCTGCTTTGCTCTGGAAGAGGACGTTGTCAGGAAAGGTCCTGTGCATGTCTGACAAAAATAACAAGACAAGAATTTGTATATGAAATGTACCTGTGTAAACAATATATTTATTTATTTTTCCAGTTTTTACAACACAATAATGAAGTAGCACATACATGACAAATACATAATTACAAAGCAAAGCAAACAAAAAGACAAAACATAACTCAGTCTCATACATACATGCATGCAGGTGGTTACAGGAGTATCACATGTATGATTGATGATGAATTGATGATGAAATGTACCTGTGTTGATACAAGTTCAGGTGTGTGGAGGTTTTTGTAAGGGGGAATAATTGTAGGGGGATGGGGAGGCTGGATCAGGCTTTTATCACAGAGGACATTTTGACACTTCATAGACAAAGCTCTGTTGTTAATAACATTATTCATGTCCCCTATTCTATTCAAGTGTCTTAGTAAGAAGGAAAGTGTATTCATATTTTTGTTACAAGTAAAAGTCACGCATTCTAAATCTTAAATTAAAGTACAAAGCATAA